CAGTTTGCACCCTTGTATCCTGATTTTGAGCAGTTTGCACCCTTGTATCCTGATTTTGAGCAGTTTGCACCCTTGTATCCTGATTTTGAGCAGTTTGCACCCTTGTATCCTGATTTTGAGCAGTTTGCACCCTTGTATCCTGATTTTGAGCAGTTTGAATAAATGAATAAAATAAGAAAGAAAAAGAATTAATACATTAATACATTGCAGTTTTCCAAGCAATTCATGATCAGTTGCTGGAGATGTGCTTAATTGAATTTATTAACTGCTAATTTTAATTTTAAATTGATAACTGCTTATTTCAGGGCTATTTCAGGGCTAGTTTTTTATCTTTACAAAAAACTTATTTCAGATGACTTTGATTCTTAGTAACTTTGACTTTCAAAACTAAATTTTGATTTTAATTTATTAAATTACACATTTCAATTTGGACCTATACTATATAATATTAAGGAATTGAGTCTTTGCCACAAACACAAGTTTTTGTAACCCTATGTCCTTGCAACCTGATAATGTAAACGTTTGATATTTCAAACTTTAAATATTTAATCTAACAGTGTTCATAGTTTGAAATATCTAATGTCTACGACATTGGGTTGCGGAGATATAGGAATTTTTAAAATCAGAGTTTGTGACAAAGACTAAATTCCTTTGGAAACCTTAGACAGCTAGGAGAAATTTAAGGGAGCTAAAGTGGTCTTCTGTCTTTATAAAATTTAGCGGCAATAATCACTGAATAATTTTCTACACAACATATACAAATTTATTCTTATCTTGTAATTTTGGAAAAACTGTAATGTACTGCATCTATGTTTGTTTACAAATTTATTCTTATCTTGTAATTTTGGAAAAACTGTAATGTACTGCATCTATGTTTGTTTACAAATTTATTTTTATCTTGTAATTTTGGAAAAACTGTAATGTACTGCATCTATGTTTGTTTACAACTACAGGATCAAGAATTACCATTGGATCTATCAATGAGAAGCAGTCTTAGTAGGTACAGAAACGTTTTCCGTTAAATTCAATTCTATTCTATTCTACTCAAATTTTCCTATTTTAATAATACATCTTAATCTTTTCTTTATTATTTTTATGCAAATCTCTTTTACATTATTTTATTTCTATTGATTCTAATTGATTTAATCTATTCTATTGTATATTTTTTTTCTATTTTTTTACTATTTCAGTACATCAACCTCTGAAAGCGTAACAACAAAGTTTCTTTTCCCTGGTCGCAAGGTGATTAAAATTATGAATTTATTCATGATACTACAATCAAAGTAAATCATTAAAATGATGCTATCATATTGTGCTTTTTCTTCCGGACGCACTCATTAGATAAAAATATTGAACTTAGAAGTTCACATTTTATCTTGATCAAAATGTTTGATCAAATTGATTATGATTTGAATGATTTGATGTTTGGACCAATCACAGTTAAGCCTGGTCAGTTGTAGACCGATTTAAGACCAATAAAGATCCAGGAATTATTCAAAATATTTTCTCTTCAGTTACTACTTTTATTTGATCAGGCTCCTCGTCTCTCCAGTTCAAGTCAACATTCACTATCATTTGAATTAGAACAAGGAACAAGAAGACCTTTTGAGGTACTTTTACACGTTTAATAGATGATCTGAGGCCGAATTTAAAGAATTTGAGCCGCGGCTTAAATTTAAGCCATGGCTCAAATATGGTTGGTTTCACTTAAAATTGTATTCAATTTTTCAAGATTTAAGCCGGCGCTCAACAAAAACCAGTTTTTGGGGGATTCAAGACGCGGCTCAAATTCATTAAATTCGGACTCAGGTGGTGTCTTTGATCATATATTATCAAGGACCAAATTAATGAATTGAAAAGGTCACTGAAATCACCGATTTAAATCCTCATGAATTTTAACTTTGAATTGGGATGAATCAGATTTGAACTAACAGTAGGAAGTTCATCACTCTAGTTCAAATTCATTGCATGTTATCTTTTATAATTGTCCCAAAAGACAGTCTTAACATACTGCTGTTTGGGGACTAAAGGTTAAATTTGACAATATAAAATTTTATAATTTTTCCACCAACACATCTTCAGGTTCTCATTTTTTTTACTTCTTTTTTGCCTCTCCAATTGTTGGCCTTGTTTCTAGAAGAATTATAATGTTCTGTAATGTACTTTAATGTAAACAGCAGGTTGGACCAGTGCTGGAGGGGAAAACCTCAGAGCAAGGGTTCACTTGCCCATTGTGTAATCAGGTCAGTATTGTAAATATTTCAGTTCCTAGTTAAATAAAAAAAACGCTATTGCAATCAACGGGAAAATTACATTTGGCAATAGCACACTCTGTGTGATATAAATATAGCCAGTGTTGATATATCGCAAAACATGTTCGCTAAAGGAATCAACATTTATTATAAAGGAAGCAGCTATTATTATACTGCACAGAGTGTGCGCTATATCTAACTTCAATTTTTCTGATAAATGTTATTGATATATCTTTTAGAGCAATAGCGTTTTTTTTGCAGTGTAATAGGTTTTTGTAAAATTAGTAAAAATTGAAAATATTAACTTTAGATGTTTGGGATTCATGACAGGCTTGCTAAACATATGGCATCCAGGTAAAAAAAAATTTAAATAACAAGCTATTTTTGAAAAAATTTACCGAATTAATTTTGCAGGCATAAGTCTCGATCCACTGATTCCTCTAGTAAGGCATATCCCTGTGATGTTTGCAAACGTAGTTTTGCCCGCAGTGATATGTTGACACGACACATGAGGCTTCACACTGGGATAAAACCATATACTTGCAGGGTGTGTGGTCAGGTGTTCAGCAGGTAGTTTTAGCTTACCTTGACCTTGGCTGTTACTCAAATTCTAACTTCACCCTTACCTTGACCTTTGCGCTTAAATTATCCTTTAATATAACCCAGAAAAGATAATGGCCCTCCTCAGGTTTAAACTTACATTTTCTTTTTTGACCTGGTTCATGAATTTAGCCTCAACTTAGACTAGATATTGACCTTTTGCTTTGACCTTTAACTTTACTTTGACCTTGTTCTTGACCTTAATGCCCAACCTTAAAATTTAATTTGACCAACACAAAAATTTTTTTTGTAAGGTTCATGCTTTAGGCAAAAAAAATTATTAAAATCTAATGAATGGTTAATGGAAAAAAATCTTCAAAACATTTTTTTTCAAAAATTTATTAAAATTTTTTTATACTAAAATTTCATTAAAAAATTATTGCACAAAGATTGTTTTGCAAATTTGCACCAAATCTTACGAAATATTTGAATAGCAAAATTGTGTTAATAGAAAGTTCAATCCTGTCACCTTTAAAAGATTTAGTAAGATTTGGATCAAATTTAGCCTGATCATTCTCGCAGATTTGTTATGATAACTTTTCTTTTATCAATATATTTTTAGAATTTTTAACTTGATTCTAAAAGAAATTCATTTTTGCACAACATTGCTGATTTTTTCCATGAACCAAAAATATTTTTGCAATTAACTCAATTTCAAATTAAAATTAATTAAAATATAAACCCTGCAGACATCACTATTCCGAGTTTTATTTCTCACCCTGTTTATACTTCAGGTCTGATCATTTATCCACACACCAAAGAACACACACCGGAGAGAAACCTTACCGGTTAGAATTAATTCATTAATTTCTTAAATATATCTGAGAGTCTGGAATTTTTTATTTTCTATTCAATATGTAATTTCTGGTTTTTCTTATTTCAATTTTGGTAAAAAAGAAGTTTCTTTATGGTAAAATTAGATTCAACATAGATATATATAAAGTTGCAATCTCTGTTGGTCTGTTTGTGTGTTTGTTTGTCCTTGACTGATTTGTCTCAAATTTTGATTTGGGGAACTCGGAAGACCCACAGCATGTTCTTAGCTTGGTTTTGAGATTCCAAGTTGAGTAGGTCGACGTTTAAAGCGAAAATTTAGTTTTCCGGTAAAAATCATACAAGTGTAGGTACTAGGTACACGTAAATTCAATTGAACCATTTTGCAAAGATGACAATGCCCAATTTATAACGGTACCCTTTAAACCTTTAACTGATAAATTATGTTGAAGAAATTGTGTTTTTAATTTTAAATATGTTTTCTTGCAATAGAAATGTGGTAGTCACTTTTATAGAGTAACCAGAATTGAAAATAATCAATTTTCTAACATTGATAACTAATTCAGACTTGATCAAACAAAGCTTTTAAAGTTGTCCTTGTAAATCAAACTTTCGACATTTTTCTTCAAAAATCAAATATTCTTTCTTCAAAAATCAAATATTTTTTTTTGCAAAAATCAAATTTTTGTTCAAAATTTAAAGAAAATCCTCGGGAAACGCCGGCCATTTCAAAAATAGAAAATTAATTTTTGTAAATTTTTACAAGGTTAGAATAAGAGAGAAAGATTATGGCATGAATTATGTGTTTTTTTTAAGTAAAAAAAAATAGTTGAAATACATCTCTCCCTAGATGTCCGAGTTGTCCTTACTCAGCCTGCAGAAGAGATATGATTACGAGGTAAATATAAATGGGGATTCAGATATAAAGGAAGTCATCATGCTATTGGATTAAAAAATTCAGAAATTAAGCCTACCAACACATTTATGCGTGATGTACAATATTTTGTTATAGGAAATAGGTTTTGGTATCAATAACAAGTATTGCAATATAATTTGAAGTTTTTTTGAGACTCCATAGCGTCATATAGAAATTTGCAATTTTAAATATACTAATTCACTTTTTTCTCTGAAATAGAGAACCACTGAAAGATGCGCCCACATAATTAATTACTGAAATAAAATTTTCTTTTAAAGATTTTGAAGTTTATCTGCAAAAGTTTGCTGTTTTTAACATACAATCTTTTGTGTTTTTATCAAAATTCTAATTTCTAGGCATTTGAGAACACACTCAAGATACGAACACCAAGATTCATCATCAATAGAGGATACAAAACCAGTTTTTAGGTAAACAAAAACCGGTTCTCAGGTAAACACAAAACCAGTTCTCAATATCGGTATACAGTTAAGAATATAAATATACCTATATATGTACATGAAAGTATAGTGCAGAAAATGATGTGACAGGGTGTCTTAAGCAGACGTTTGAGCACCCTGTTTTATTGCTTCGACCATCATCTATTTTATTTTATACATATTGTTAAAAAATTAAGATTTGGAAGAAAAATAAACGTTAAAAATACCTTGGACATTATCCTGGTAGATATCCTAAAAGCTATTTCCTAATCATATTCGTATCCTTATATCCTTCACTTGATCCAAATAAAAAAAAGAATTCTATTTCTCTGCTCCGGAAATAGAACATGATGACGTCAAAACCCTAATTTCTATCACAAGGAAGCATATTGTTTATCTGAAAATATCTCCTATAATTATAATACAATGTATCTAAAAAAACCTCTTTAAGGTACTACGGCTCCCATCATGGGTCTATCGAACAAAAAATGTTAAGTGGATTTCGAAAATGTTAAAAATATCAAATCAAAGCACGATGAAAGCCTACACTAACTTTTTATGGGACACATTGTATCTCATTTATCTCTTAGTTTTTTCTTTATTTTGAGTTTCTTGGGTTTTTTTTAAAGGAAATGCAGACATTTTGTTTGTAATCATCAAACTTCCTGAGAGCATTTTAAAATTGCAAACATTTGTTTTGAATGTAAAAATGTGCAAAATGTCAATATAACGCACAAACTGCTCGCAGCATGGCTTTTTAAAATAAGAAATGGAAGAGTTTAAACAAAAATGATATTTTTTAAATGTTTAGAATGTCTAGTGGATCAGATAATCTACTGTCTGTAAACTCAGACAGATATTTGTCAGACTTATCAGATAGCAGGTAGATTATCAGATAGCAGGTAGATTATCAGATAGCAGGTAGATTATCAGATAGCAGGTAGATTATCAGATAGCAGGTAGATTATCAGATAGCAGGTAGATTATCAGATAGCAGGTAGATTATCTGATAGCAGGTAGATTATCAGATAGCAGGTAGATTATCAGATAGCAGGTAGATTATCAGATAATAATAATAGTAATGATAATAATAATAATAGTAAACAGTTCTGATAGTATATATTACTTATTAGAATCATAATAATTAATGAAAATGAGGAAAAACATAATTACTTTTTGATATTTATTAATAAACAAATTGTTCTCAAAAGTATGCATTGAATGCAATTAGGAACAATTTTATTAGCAAAATTATATGTACGTCTAATTTTTTAAGAGAGTGTACAAAAATGTACATGGGATGTAAACGAATTATAATAACGTTTCAATGGATTTGTACTGCTGTATTTCTTTTTTATTTTTCTGTAAAAATAATTGTTGAAACATCTGATAGAAATGAAAATTAGTTTCAATGTTTCCATGATAGAATGTTATTCTCCTTTTATATTTTAAAAAAACATCTTTGTTAATAGTAGGTTCTTCTTTGATGTAGATTTAATAATTATATATTAAGTCCGTGACAAGTTTCTATTTTATACCCATTAATCAATTTTATTTATTAAATCTTAATTTCTAGTAGATTGTCAGATGGTGAGAACAGGTTGGGGTTTGACAGATCACCTTCCAGTGGTCAACGGTCATATGTACGGTCACCTCTTAGCTGTACACCTTCGGACCGGTCACCAGGCGGAAACTCATTTGACCGGTCTACAGGCGGACATTCATTTGACCGGTCACCTGCCGGTCATTCCTTTGACCTTCAAAATAGTCGGGTCCTTCGGGATTTTGCTTCCAGGTGCAATTTTCGTCTTTGTTATTTTGTTTTAAACGCGGCAAAAAGCAAACTTTCATGAAAATTACTCTTAATTGTTTCAACTGAAAGTGTTCAGAGATAAAACAAACCTTTATCAAGCCATCCTAGATTTTGCTTCTTGTAAAAAGAAGAAAAAAAGATAATCATTTTAATAAATATAAGCTATTACTGTCTAAATATATAGATAAATTTAAAAAATAAAAAATAAAAAAAATATTGTAGTGCCCCTGAAGACCACAATACGCCTGAATCCATCTGTGCCATGTCAAGGTAAATGCATCCAAGAACAATTTTTATCCGACTCACAACGGTAACCTGGAAACCTTGTTGAACAAATCCTTTTTCTAACTAAATTTTGAATTTTGTTTAGTTTCTCTATTAAAATAGTTCTTTCATTGTTTCTCGGACGAATTGTGTAAGGTACTGTTGTGAATCGTAGGCATGCAACTCACCAAGAGTTATATATAATGTTAGGTAACCCTCCTTTATAAGATTCATAACAGTCCCCTTAAACCATAATCTGATCAATAATGTGGAAGAAGAGTTTTAGTTTTTCAGATTAAAAGGTGTTAAATTCTGTTAATTTCACTTTTGTAGAGAAACCACAAACAAACAAAAAAATCAGTTTTAAAAGGCAAACACACGGAAATTAAATTCATACATGCAGTGGTAGGCGATTATATCAATATAATAAAGACTACTTTAGATTTTTATTTTGATTTAAATCAAGCTGTTAAACAGCATGGATACACATAAACATAGAAGTCAAGAGAAGCTGCCAATTTAATAAGCTTTTCATTGATTGCTTGTAAACTTTTAATTCAAAAAAAGTTTGTTACAATCAAAACTTTCATTCAAAAGTCGTCTTCATTTTATTGATATAATCGCCTACCACTGTACATGATCGTACAAAGCCTTTCAGGGTAACGTTATGAATGGTACATGGCACTCTATCAATAGATATTTGATATTTTGTTTCTTAGTCATTTTTTAGCTTTTTCACATCATTTTTTAAAATTTTTGACTGTTTAAGGAAACCTTAATTTGTTCGTAATAATATTTAACTTTTCAAAAGCCTTTCTAAAATACGAACTTTTTGTTCAGTTCAAAATATGTTTACAGCTATCTGTTCATAATTTTGAACAAAATATGTTTGTAGAATTCTGTTCATAATTTAGAACAAAATATGTTTATACCATTCTGTTCATAATTTTGAACAAAATATGTTTATAGCATTTTGTTCATAATTTTGAACAAAATGTCTGTAATTTAGAAATGCTTTTGGTCGCACTTCGCTTTTTTCAGGGATATATCGGAGGAAAACGTGTCAGGGAGTACTGGCTAAAAATTACGCTTACAGCCGCCATCTTTGTTGCCCAGCAGCGACAATAGTGTATAGTGGTCATTTTTTAAACTAAACATTGAAAACATAAAATATATTCCAATGTAGAAATCTAAAATCTAAGAATATTAAATTATTTTTTAATTTTCATTTTCAAGCCAAGATTTTTGGAAAAAGAGAGAAACTTTCAAATTTGATAGATTTTTAATTTTGAAAATGTTGAAAATTAACCAATTTCTTATAAAAAATTTCCAAATTTTCTATCCTTTTAGGTATCTTTGGTATGACTCTCCTATATTCAAAATATGATTCAACATATGTATTTAAAATTATTGAAACTTTTCAAAAAAAGGGCTTCAGGCAAAGTCATTTAATGTTGTCAGATTTAGCGGATTTTATGAAATGTTTGTATTTCCAAAATTACGATTATCATAAATTACTAACGATTACATCGATTGTAAAGCGTTAAATGTTTAAATGAGTAAATTTATAATACCTGGGGCTAGAACCCAAAATACCTTGGGCTAGAACCCAAAATACCTGGGTCTAGAACCCAAAATGCCCAATATGTTTTGAAGAATTTTATGTATCTTCACTGTACAAAAAATATTGGGATGGTTCCCGCCCATTTTTCTGGATAATAGTTATAGTATTTATTTTCAAAGACAAAATACATAATAATTATGTATGATAGTTCAGCTTAAAATAAAACACAAAAGAAAATTTATTTTGAGCCAATTCAAAATATAATGCTTGATAATTTTGTTTGATTGTTTTTGTTGATACAAAGTATACATATTGAAATCTCAACTGAATATACATTCATTGTGCATTTACAAGCAGATAATTAGTCAGCACTTAAATAATCAAAACATTTTCCGGAATGCATTCATTGAACTTATAAATACATATTGATTCAACAAAAGTAGAAATATATTTAGTTGACTGTAGTAGACTTGACATCTACCATTAGCAAAGGGTGTGAACCCATACTCGTTGACTTTAGTAGACTGGCTGCACGCTCTGTATCCTAATCAAGATCAAATATTTTTTGTCGTCTATTTGTTTGTCTGTCTTCATTTAAAAAAAAAAATTAAAAGCTATAAAGATTTCCAAATCAATCAAATTCTCAGATTTTAGTGATATTATCATGATTAATTAAT